AGGTGAAGTGGGGGGGGCTGGGGAGAAACTGCTCCCCAAAACAGGAATTGCAGGGGAGTGCGTGGGGGTTTCATGGGGCATGTGGATCCCTGGGCTGTGCCTGGGGCTGAGCTGCCCCAGGAGCTGGGACACCATCCATGAGCTGCCCCAGGAGCTTGGACACCATCCATGAGCTGCCCCAGGAGCTGGGATACCATCGTTTAGCTGTCCTGGGAGCTGGGATACCATCCCTAAACTGCCCTAGCAGCTGGGATACCATCCATCAGCTGCCCCAGGAGCTGGGGTAGCATCCATGAACTGTTCTGGGAGCTGGGATATCATCCCTAAATTGCCTCAGCAGCTGGAATTCCATCCATGAGCAGACCCAGCAGCTGGGATACCATCCCTAAACTGTCCCAGCAGCCAGATGGGGAGAGGAAGGTCAAACCAGGCAGCCTGGCCGCCAGGGTCAGCCCCAGCTTTAATGGGAAGCAGTCCCTGGCTGCTCAGAAAAGGGGCTTTGTGCTGCAGCTGGGTGGGAGCCAAAGCCCCTCTGCCTCCCCAGCCCTGCTGCTCCCTCTGTCCTCCCCAGGGCTGTGCCTTGTGAGCAGAAAGGGGCTTTTGTCTGCCCTGTTGTGGGGACAGGGTGCTGTGGGGACAGCCAAGCCGCCAGTCCCCATCACAATTCCCGCTGCAGGGCTGGGTTTGGATGCCCCAGCCCCAGCTGGATCTGTTTCTGTCTGTCCCATTCGCTGTGCAGGGTCAGGGGGGAGGCTTGCCTGAAGCAGCATGGTTGTGGCCTTGCTCTGTCCCTGTGATCCCTTTCCATGCCTTCAAACCCCTGAGCAGCCGTGCCTCAGTTTCCTCTGTGACCGTGTTCACAGGGGTCTGAGGATGAGGATGAGGGAAGAGACTCCATGTTTCAGAAGGCTTGATTTATTATTTTATGATATATATTATATTAAAACTATACTAAAAGAATAGGAGAAAAGGTTTCATCAGAAGGCTGGCTAAGAATAGAAAAAGAAGGAATGATAACAAAGGTTTGTGGCTCGGACAGAGAGTTGGAGCCAGCTGATTGTGATTGGCCGTTAATTAGAAACAACCACATGAGACCAATCACAGATGCACCTGTTGCATTCCACAGCAGCAGCTAATCAATGTTTACATTTCTTTCCTGAGGCCTCTCAGGAGGAAAAATCCTAAGGAAAGGATTTTCTTAAAAGATGTCTGTGACATTCCCGCCAGCCTGCTCCTTGGGGCAGCCCCGCAGTGGTCACCAGTGGCATGGATGTCACTGACCACCACAAGGCCGGTCCTTTGGCTGAGTCTGGCCACATCTGGAGCTCAGGCTGGCAGGGTCCCCTCTGGGCTGTGCTCTGACCCTCCTGTCCCGCAGGTGGCCGCTGCTGGCGCTACGCTGGCTCCCAGCTGGNCACAGATGCACCTGTTACATTCCACAGCAGCAGATAATCAATGTTTACACTTCATTCCTGAGGCCTCTCAGCTTCTCAGGACAAAAAATCCTAACAAAGTGATTTTCCATAAAACATCATGGTGACACTGCGGTCCCTGCTGGCTCTCGTGTCCCCAGGAGGTGCCCTGGCCCACGCCTTCCTGCCCCGGCGAGGAGAAGCTCACTTTGACAGCGCTGAGCGCTGGTCCCTGCACAGTGGCAAGGGGAGGAACCTGTTCATCGTGGTGGCCCACGAGGTGGGGCACACGCTGGGGCTGCAGCACTCGCCCGTCAAGAGCGCCCTCATGTCACCCTACTACAAGAAGCTCAGCAAGGATTTTGTCCTCAGCTGGGATGACATCTTGGCCATACAGAGTTTGTACGGTGAGCCTGGCTTCTCTGAGCATCCCTGGGTTCCTCCAGGGTTGTTCTCTGGGGTTCTCTGGGTTCCTCCAGGGTTGTTCTCTGGAGCAGTAGGGATGGGAGCAGGTCAGTGAAAGGGGAGAGGACTGCTGACACATGGGCTCCATTCCTGTGGTGGCTGGGAGGAAAATGCAGAGGTGGGACAGGTGCCAGGGCCTCCAGGGCAGGGAAGGTTGGGTTTGCTGCCCACTTGTCTGCTGGTGCATGTTTTTTGGGGTGCCAAGGGATTTTTATATAGAGCAGGATAGGAACCAGACATTGGGACAAGGAGTCTTTGGAGTCCCAGCCCTGTGCTTTGGGAAAAATTGTTTTTCCACCCCTTCTCCAGACTCATCACCCCTTGTTCCATCCCAGGAAAGCCCTCCAAGGGCTCGGCCATCCAGCTCCCAGGAAAGGTCTTCACTCACTTCCAGGACTGGAACACGGATCTTTACAGCAGGGACCGACGGCAGAGGAGCCTCAGCACCTACTACTGCCACACCTTCTTCGATGCCATAACCTCTGGTGGGTGTGGGCCAGCGTGACCCCCTCCCAAACCTGCACCCCACCCCTTGTCCCAGTGCTGCTGCAGCTCCCAGGGGAGGGAAAGCTGGGTTTGACTGGGCCACAGCTCCTGGCACTGGTGGTGTCACTGATGCACAGTGAAGCAGTGCACACTGAGGGCACAGCGATGTGCCAGAAACAGGGAAAACACCCCAAAACTTGGGCCATGGCAAGGATTAATCGCTGCAGGAGCTCAGCTGTGCAAGATAAGCGTTGAACTGTGGCCAGCATTTATCCTTTCATGCCTGGAGGGGAGAAAATGGATTCTGGAAGGTGGAAGGGCAGGAGGAAGAATCCAAACCCCAAAACACAGGGAGGAGAGGGGATCTGGGTAGCAGAGGAGGATGGTTTAATAACATTTCTCCCTCTGCCTC